TGCGTTTATATTTCATTAACAACGAATAATCCCTGGCTCTCCGCTTAACAAGTTTTTGTTTCAGATGATGAGTTCGTCATTTTCGTATTTTACTCTCCTTTGTTCGTTCCAGTAGAACATTTATAAATTATCGTTGTTGCACTTGTGATTATAGAGGAGTAAGCATGCAGGGACAATGGACATTACAAGCTATCTGCTACAAGCTGCAAAATGCATTCTCAGCGATGCTTGGCGAGTTATCAGTCGTTTGTAATTCCAGCTACATACATTTTGTAAAATCAGGTAGGTGACGATTACTATCGTAGTATCGTATTAATGCAACTATACTATCGTAGAAAATATAATGAAACAATTGATTTTATAATTTTAAAATTTTCCGATATTTTTGTCTCTGACTGTATTATTAAACTGATTAAAAACCTTTTACATCTCAGTATTATATATTATAGCGAAATAATTGCTACAGCATCAAAGGATACAACTGCAATATTAGAAGACAAATGATGAGATAAGATCGAATGAACAGCTGAACTTATAGTACCGACTGCTTTAATAAGTGAGAAATATTTAAGCATTTCTGTATAAAACGAAATGTTAATGAAATACATTCATACAATATACAATATTTACACAATCGAATACATTCCCTGTACATATTTACTTATCACATCATTTAATTTAAATGATGGCTGTATGAAATATATTTCACAAGTTTCAAGTGAAATAGTATGGGGAAAGTTGCGTTGCTTCGAATACTTAAATGAAACACAAAACAATATGAATAAATAAACTGTAGCCTCTGTTTCTACGCAAGCAAAGAATGGCGGGAGTCCCGTACATATTTTCTAATTATCATTTCGTCTTATAATTATCATTCGTCGTTCCATTGATCTTCTTTTTAGCAGCTTTATAACCATATTTTGAAATGCAACACAATCATTTTGCACTTTAAACATACGTCACAATAAGTTCTTATAATAATATAATATAATATAATATAATATAATATAATATAATATAATATAATATAATATAATATAATATAATATAATACAATATATAATATAATATAATAATAATAATAAAATATAATATAATATAATATAATATAATAACAATAAGTTCTCACTTTTTGATGAGATTTGCCACAGTGATCTGAATCAGCTGAATCCAACGATACCAGGTTTGAGGGGGGGGGGGGCAGACAGCTTATAGTTTTTGAGATAATTAATGTTAAAGTTGCTAATAAAAGGTCAGAAAGACGCGCTGTATTACGGCGCGATGCACCGCGCGGCAGGAAGTGTGGGACCCTATACTAAATCTCATAAAAAAATCAGCGTCAACCCTGGGACTTCTCCTTATTAGTCCAGAGCTGTTCAACAGGCCTCGCGGCGAGCAAGGGCAAAGCTACGCAGCAAAAAGCGTGGAGACGTGAGAAAAGAAAGAGCGAAGTGTTTACGTTTTCATGCCGTCCTTTCTCTCTCACTTACATACATTACTGTTGTATGCTGATAGCGCGTTGCTCATTCTATTGGGTTGGCAACTAAGTAATTGCCAATTTCAGTTACAGATGTCTCTCACTCCCATTTTTATGATATCCGTAAATGTCATATTATAAAATTATTATTATTATTATTATTATGTTATTTTTTATTATCCGTGAATGTTAGCAACTGGACAAATTGGATGCAGCGGTCAAGGAAAAGCGACCACAATGCTATAGTTAGCTTGCTGACATTTTTAACACCCAAGAAATATAGTTCAAACGTTATTTCAGTTTTCTAAAATGGCACCGAAGTGGTACCACCGGCATACAACAGATAGTTTTTGCATGGCACCAGCGTGGTGCCACCGGACGGCATAGTGTTAATATTGAAACCAATAAAAGGATTAGCCTCAGTCTCAACGAGGAGGTTTTGATAATATATTGAGTTGGCAACTAAGTAATTGCCGATTTCAGTTATAGATGTCTCTCACTCCCATTTTTATGATATCCGTAAATGTTATATTATAAAATTATTATTATTATTATTATTATGTTATTTTTTATTATCCGTGAATGTTAGCAACTGGACAAATTGAATGCAGCGGTCAAGGAAAAGCGACCAGAATTGGTCAATCGTAAAGGTGTCAATTTCCACCAGGACAATGCTAGGCCGCACACGTTTTGTCCACTCGGCAAAAATTGATGGATATTGGTTGGGAATTGATGTTACACCCACCATATAGCCCTGATCTCGCGCCATCGGATTACCACTTATTTCGATCCCAGGACAACTCCCTTCGTGGTAAAACTTTTAACGATGATGACGCTGTAAAATCTCACTTAACTCAGTTTTTGGCCGAAAAGGATCAGACTTTCTACGAGCGTGGGATTTTCAAGTTGTCAGAGAGACGGCAAAAGGTCATCGAACAAAATGGAAAATACATTACAGATTAAACTTCATTTCAAGTAAAAAAAAATTTTTATTTCATTGAACAAATCGGTAATTACTTAGTTGCCAACCCAATATTTCACTCAATCTCGACGTATCCTACAGTCGATCTCTGTCACTGTCTTCAGCCAAATAACGAGTCGTTACTGGTGAGGATTCTCATGACGAGCCCTCGGAAGTGGGGTCTAGAGGAGAGCTCTCAGGTGTCTGACCGTTTTATTACTTTCTTTCAGGAAAGTAGGAGTAGGAGAATAACCCATCACAAATGGGATTGCCAATGGATCTCCTCTCTGCCACTTCGAGCAGATTCCAAGCAGAATCCCTGACGCCATTGGACACACTAGACACCAATGGACATACTGACCTTGAGTGGAAATTCCAAGAACGGTCAGGCGCCTGAGAGTTCTGGTCTAAAGCCCGTCGATCGGTGTTTGCTCTGGACTGAAAACCGCTGCCCCTACGGGCAAGATGTTGAACAGCTCTGTCTTAGTTCTTGCATGAGTTGTAGTAATACAATATTGTGTAGGTATGCAATTAACGGACGTGCACTTGACATTTAAAAAGATAACTGTGCACCAAGTGTCCGAAGGTTCAGAATTTTGCAAAATCTTTTTAAGGACCTTAAAATAATCTAATTGTTAGTACTAAAGCTTGAAAATGTATAAGAACATTTGCATTTAAAACTGAACATAATCCTAATTCGCTTGATGCGCACGCTATTGTTAAGTAGCAATTTATTGTTGATACCAAAATGTCCGGAGCGATCGCCGCGTTCGAGGCTATCCGCCATTCCTCTATGCGCTATAATAGTTCAATAATTCCATCTTTTTAAATCAAAATTTGAATTCTGTCTCTGATAAATTGCTTTGAAATTAATGTAAAACTGTACTTTGTATGCTCGGTACACTCCGTTTGATTCACTTTGTACATATAGACAAGCATGATCAGGCTTCGCAGAAAAAGTCACTACGCAAGGAGTGGGGCAGACGATGCATGGGCGGGACTCTCTGCGTATACGTCACCACCCCACTCCTTGCGTAGTGACTTTTCCTGAATGTGTTGAGCATGTTAAGAATATCTTACTTTGTAGTCATTTATTTGTCAGTATGACGTCACTGTAACTTATCCTTTAAATTAGATTTCACAAGAAGCCGTCTAAAATTTAAAATCGTGTGATTAGGTATTATCTTAAAGAACGTATGTCAACAGTTAATAGAATTATATAATAAATATAGAAACTCGGATATATTAAAATAGACAGAATCCAAACGAAAGCTCTCTATATAGCGCTGGACAAGGAATAAAGATTGTTTTCATAGAAACATATAGTAGTTGTAAAATATAGTTAATTTGTTTATTTACAGAATATTCTATTTCAGGTTCTAGCGTTTATTTTAAAGATTACGATATGTTTGCGTTGGATAAATCAACAACAAATTGGAATGACAAAAATACAATTAGCTTATGCTAATTATAACAACAAACTACAATAATTACAGCATCGAAAAAGATTTATGT